TTCAGTCTATTTCTTCGGAATAGTATCTCTCCCTTGTTACATTCTAACCATGAGACTCAATCCATTAAGTTTCAGTGAAACCTATCAAATCACATTTGTCTTTCTGTGTTAAGACTGTGTCAATCTGTGCATTATTCTTTCCAGCTGATTTCTAGATAAATATTTTTCTGCCTACAAATGGATCCTTGCTCCAATTCCCCACTCTAACTTGAGGATGTTGTCCGCAGTGATCAGTATCTCCTTGCCCTTTGGAATACTGCTGTCATCTCTCACGTAAGTTAATGCAACACCCTCCTGATCAGATTTGTATGACTCTTAGCAAACATATTCTTACCAACTACAGTGAGGAGCAATCCATCTCTTACCATAAGCCCTTTTTCCTGAAAATGCAGAAAGTGCATTGCCTATGCAGCCAGTTGCTCACTTCTGGTATTCTTCTCCCTCTTTGTGAACCATGTCCTTCATCAAGAAGAAATGAACCAACCTGTGCCCCAAGCTACTTAAAGCTTTCCTTCCTTCATACTCCCTTGTAATATTCTGAAGACTATCTGCAGTATATGTTCCAACACCAATCCTAAGGAAAGATGCCTATGGTGGACTTCTCAGCCTCTTGTTATAACATTGATCATTGTTTTTAAAAGACAGCAAGCCTGTATGCTGTTCTTTATTTGTGTTGCTCTAAACTTACAACACAGTTCTTTCAAGTTTTGCTTCTCTTTGTACCATATTCCATCAAGTGTCTGATTCCTGGGTTTGGAAACTGGAACTCTCCCTAAAGTCATCCCATGTCTTACACGTAGAAGAGTCTGATCTACATCTAAAAAGCTTCATTCTCCCTGATAAAGTGAAGTGTAGATACATGAGCCTCAAACAACTCCGCCTTCTCTTCTAGAGGGGAAATTAGCTTGCTGTCACTGGAAATATAAACCCCCTTTTCTTTGGTAAGAAAGGAAGCATGGCACAGATGATGTAGTTCAATGAATTAATGACAGCTTGTTTCAATGGAATGAACATCCCCATAAAAAAGGCCAGCTGAGATGCCCACCAGAATGCAGGCATGTCCTAGTACTAATGCATACCAGCAGCTAAGCATTACTCTCCAGGCAATTACAACACAAACATATTATCAATAAAAACCAACCTGCAATTCATATTGTCCGTTATACTTTATGGTCCAAACATGTAAAACTTGATCTTGATAAATGCATCAGAATAACTTGCCTCCAATAGGATAACTTGCCTTCCAGACAGAAGTATCAACACTACACATGGAACAGAATCACTAAAAATATCTTCAACTAGAAATCCTGTGTTAAATTTGGAGTAACGTAGTGATAAAAAAAAAGAGTTCAAACTGGATAAAAAATACCATGCAGGCATTTGGGATAAGTAAAGGCCAGCAAAATTAGAATGCATGCTATGCATTTTTGAATTTTTTTAATCAAAGCAAGTTATTTAGGGAATGAAATACAAGCTAATAGTAAGCACTTTCATATTTCAGGAAATAAATCATTTATTTCAGACCAGTCTTTAAATTTCCAAATGTAACACTAGAAATACTTTGTGGGTAAATGATGCAAGAGGTCCAAAAACTCATTTGGATGAATAAGTATCTAAAACATTTAGATTTTCATTCAGGAACAACTCCTGTACACTTTTTTTTAATGGAGGCTGTCACAAAACTGATTAAATCTTTTCTCTAATTGGTAACCAGAAAAAAGGAAGTAAGGAAGATCATATAAGACTGGCATATGAAGTTGTTCCTTATTCAAGGACTTTCTTTTAAAGCGACTCCTTCAGGTCCTCTTTTCATTAGGAACTCTATTTCAATATTGTTTTAAAATTACATCAAGCTCTTGAATAATGGACCACTATTTTTGTCATATTTATTTACTGTCTTTAAACACAATGTATATATGGATGCAAGTTAGCATGATACATTGCTTTGGGCTAGGTGGGGTATAACCCTAAAGGTAAGTAAAACTGCTTACCAGAAATGTTTTGGCCTCTTTGATTACCACCCCTTTGAGAAAAAAAAACAGACAGCAAATGTCCTTCAATTGTCTGATAAAATCTTTTAGTTATGTACTAAGGTCTTATGTTTATAACTTTGGTGAATTCCCAACATCATCGGAGTGAAGAGCCAATTAACATAATATTAGAGAAACTGCTACATCCTTCTTTGTTTGCCACTGTCTAACTGATAATGAGCTTACAACTACCTCTACTTTTGAAACCACCTGACAAACAAGCCTGATTTACAATTGATCACATGCAAACAGTTAATTCCATGCCTACTGGAAGATTTTAAATAGCATTCAAAAGTCTGCTTTTTAAAAAATGGTGTGTAGAGAATTCCCCTCCAGATCTTGTCTACTTTTTTCTTCCTGAATTTATTCTTTTCATAAAGCAGTACAGTTTGCATTGACTTATGCAAATTCTTAAAAAGAAGACAGCAACACTAGCAAAAATTGATGTGTCCATGTGTGTATATAAATAAATAAAATGGTCTTACAGACAAGTCATCAGTACATATGAAGTATTACCTGCGCTGACAGCAGCTTTTCAAATTGTCAGGCAGAAATATCCTTCCTGTAAAATCCTTTAGATGAGGCTGATGGAAGCTTAAATTTGAGGTTCAATCTTTAAAGAGAATCAAAATCATTTTTTTGCATCAACCATCATTAACCAGTCAATAATCACCCATAAAATATTAAAATGGACTCATGGAACATGATCAGGTATGCCTGAGATTCCTCAACAATTTTCTTTAATATTAGAGGAATTAATCATGTAATGGAGAAGCCAATATACTTTTGTATACTGATGATATTGCTCTTTACCTGTTCATAAAACAATTCACAGAAAAAACTTTACATATACTCAATGTGTAGTGAAGCTACAAGTTATAAAATCAATATCTCAAATCTCAGAACATTTTGGAATAAACATCTCAGAAAAAAATCTGAAGAACTGATAGAATCGAATACCAACAATTTATTTGCCAATAAAGGCAAATCCAGATTTAAGAAGAATAAAAGAATATACTGCAATCTGTTATTACAAATGGAGAAAAAATTTAACAACCGAGAAAAAGATTTATTATCTTGGTGGGGGGAAATAACAGCCGTAAGTATGGTGATTTTATGCTCATGACTCTTGCAATTGAGAACTAGTTGAAAATTTGACAACATAAATTATGAAATGTGTATGGGATAAGCTGCCTTGGGTTCCATAATGGCAGAATAAACATTTAATTAATTAATTAGCTCCATACAACAGTTGATGAAAAGCTTTATCAGAAAACAACAAAAGAAGTGAACTTTGCGTTCCAGACATACATTGTCAAGCAACAAAAACAGCTCAAATTAAAGAATGGTACAACTTTTCACCCTTCGGGGTGAGAAGTGCAGCATATAAATGTCATAAATAAATAAATATGTAGAACAACATATCTTTGGGAAACATTTATGGGAGCTATTAGTATAAACCAAACATAGATTTCCAATCCAAGGATATTTACCTCCCCAAAATCCATTCCCAATTTGGAATAAATCTGCTGCCATCTAACCCAGGATTTTCTCTTTTACTTCTTCTAATACTACTACTTATAAATGGAGAATTAATCAGTTTGTAAATGACAAGATGGTCATTCTGGGGAAAGATGCTACAAGTAGGTATTTGGATTAAAGAAATCTACATACATTTATAACAGAAGCATCATTCACACTAGAATACCCACATCTCCCTCCATTTCACTTATTCCATACTAGAAATGTGATGGAATAATTACCAAAAAAGAAATGTTTCATACAGAGAAAGAAATGAAGTATTTTTGTTCAAAGATTAGTTGAAGACTAAGGTAAATTAAAATATTAGAGAACAGCAAATCTAGTGGGAGAACCAATTCAAAGAATGATGGGTTTGAGTTTTAAAAATAGTAGAATTAAAATATTAGTGATAGTTTATTGAAAGAGTTTAATGGCTTAACTATAATAGAATAGGGTCTTCCTGTCTCCCCATATCCTTTTATTGCTCGTTTTCCCCCTCTTGATTTCTTTTTTATCTTTAACTCATTTTTGTTTTTATGTTACATAAACATTTTAATGTTTATGTAACATAAAAAGGCGCGTGTGGTGGGGACGCGAGACGGGGGCCTTTTCTGTGGTAGCCCCCCGACTCTGGAACACCCTCCCCAAAGATATCAGATAGGCCCCTACGTTGGCAGTCTTTAGGAAGAACTTGAAGACCTGGCTGTTCTGATGTGCCTTTCCAGAATAGGAAAACTCCAGCAACATGTCCCAGAAGCACTTTGTTAGAGCTGAGATTGCCCGCACACTGCACTTACCCTAAAATCCATGATACCACCTGTCACATCAGCACTTTTAACCTGTACCCATTACATTTGGCCCGGCCCTAGTTTTATTGTGTTTTGGTATATTGTTTTTATTGTTTTGTTGTTGATATTGCTTTAATTGTTTTTAATTTGCTTTAAATTGTGTATTTGTTATACTGTTGTTTTGTTGTGGCCTTTGCCTTTGTAAGCCGCATCGAGTCCTTCGGGAGATGCTAGCGGGGTACAAATAATGTTAATAATAAATAATAATAATATTACATAATTAATACCATTAGATCATTAATCTTTGAATCATGTAGATAGTAAAGATTTATTCCTTAATGTTCATTTGATTTCTTCGGATTTTTTTCTCACTTAGATAAATAATGGGATGTTGACATAAAAATAAAACGAAAGCAATGAAGACATCAACGATCCCATTATAATAAAATATATAAGGGAATCTTCCCTAAGCTATTTGAAAAATTCTGGGTCGGTGCAAGTGAGCCCCCATTAAACTATCCCTGTCTCTGGCATAGAATAAACACCTTGGAATAGCATGTTTCCCTTTTTATAAAAGATTATAGTTACCAGCCAGAATAATTACACTGAATGAAGATAAAATAAGATTGTTTGTTGAATAACTGCAAAAATTCCTTTAAAGTTAAGAAAAAATGAAAAACATTTTTATTAAACTTGCTTAGAAGAAAACCAATTCTCACTTCCAACTTTCATTTGCTAAATACACATGTTCTATACATTTACAGGCTTTTTTAAAAAAAACTGGTTTTAAATTGTTAGAAAGTTCATTAGCAATGAAACAATCATTTTGCTAACAATAACCTACTGTGACTTTACAAAAATGAGAGCTTGCTGAGGCATTTTCAACAAGTGATTAACTCAGTGCCATCATGCACTTATTTGTTTCAAATGTCCTATTCAAAAGAGTAACACGGCCTTTTTTTCCAAGCAAGTGTCCTCCACACCTGTGGCACTATAAGTCCCATTGCTCCGAACTAAGTGACAATCCGTGGGGATGATGCTAGCTGTAATACAACAGATCTGCAAGATGCCAGGAAAATGAGTGCACTAATAAGCTTTTGCTTGATACTAAAATTATTCTGCAGACTATTAAAACCATAGTGCCATTCACTTTGGATCCTTTCTTTAAAAAAGAGCTTTCAGAACAGGCTGAATTCTTTGATCCATCAGTTACTCTTGTGGTCTTTGTTTTTCTTCCATCCAATGATCCAAGTCCTCCAGGACCCAGGTTTGCCTCCTTTCTTATTTATGGTGATGTTGTTTTCCCCCTAGTTCCAAGGAGGGCAGAACTCTAAGGGGAATCCTGTCAGCAGAGCTGGGTGGTAATTTTCAGTGATTCTATGTGCATTCTTCACATTGGTTTGGCAGATTCACTATTGACTCCTTTTATCCCTGGTTCGCCGTGACTTCGTCTGAGGTTTACATTCTACGAAGAACTCAAATAAAATAAGTGACGACATGTTGCCTTTGTTACAAACAGTTACAAAGTGTATTTTAAAAGTTACTGAAGACTTCACTAATTTTAGCTAATGTAAAGATGTTTTTTCTTGACGAGAGGCTTTAGGAGAAATGGGACAGTGATACTTCATTATATAATTTGTTTCAAACATGTCTAGAGTTCCAACAGCATTTTGATTTTGAAACCCATTTAATTTGGTTTGCAGAATCTCATCATAATGTTTTTAACAGAACCTTAAACTAAACGTATTTGAAACAATTTAAAACATGCACATTTCCCGTGGATGGATGTGATACTACACCTAACACACTAGATCAGTGCTTTCCAACTTTTGGTTTTCCAATTGTTTTGGACTTCAACTTCCAGAAATCCCAGCCAGCTTACAGGAATTGTGGGAGCTGAAGTCCAAAACATCTGGAGGACCAAAGGTTGGGAATCAATGCAATCAATAGGAAGATTGGGAGATAAATTGTTTTTTTCCAGGCAGCGGTTATCCCTGCAAGGTTTCAAACTATCATACACTCATCTTTCAAAATACAACCACAATTTTGTATTACTGAAGTTTTAACCAACTTGGTGGCTCATGCGTTACCCAACATGGACACTGCTTTGCCTAGTCATATGCATGGAATACCTGGCCTGTTGCTTAACTTAATTAATTTAGTAATGCAGATACACCATATTTCCTACATGCTTCCACTTTTTTGATAAAATGACTGGACTTTTTCTCTCTCTTTTAGACATACATGCATATGCATAGAAGTGTTTCTGTAACTGCTGATTTTCCATGCCTGTAATAAAATTAGCCATTGCTACTAGAACACATACTCTTGCATAAACACATGAGTTAACAAATTTCAATTGTGTTCTAATTGCTGGTTTAACAGGCCTTTGTCCTAAAGACCTGTTAAACCAGTAAAGCTATATAACATTCCTAGAGAACACGGGGGTCAACTACAAAGGCAGTATTAACAAATGAATACTACCTACAGGAATACTGAATTATATTCTACCCTACAGAAAATATCCCCAAAATGATAGCTTTGCAGTACTGCAAATCATGTATGTGTTGGCTTGTAATATTCTCCTTCCACATGTCAAGCATATTTACCTACCTGCTTGGCTCAGTCACATTTCCCAGCTTTTGCACTAGACATTATTAACTTTGGCAGTGCCTCTTCATGGGCATACTACTGTGCAATGTTAGACTCAGTCATTCTGTATCTGTTGAAATATTAGCATTAATTTTAGATCACTTATAAGTTAAAGGGAGGGGGGAACAGAAGGGTGGAAAAAATATCAGAAAAGTAGGGAGGACTAAATGACAAGTCCTGATCAAACAAACACAAACATTCCCACCGACCTGAGAACTACTGTAGTGTAAGAGATAGGATGATGGGTATGTTTCAACCATGAAAACCATTTGTGACTTTGGAAAAGTATTATTTCTAAGCTTAAGATTCCTTTGAAAAGGGGGATAATGCTATTTACGCTATCCCTAAAGTCCTTGCGGGAAAGCCAGGTCCTGTGCTAACAACCAAGTGCTAATGTATTGTTTCTGGGTTTTTTTGTTTTTGTTTGTTTTTTATTCAGAGTCTGGATCCCTTGTTTCAGAAGCAAGCATTTTGTAACTGGAAATACATGTGACAATAAAACACTAGAATCTAGTGACATATTAAAATCTAACTGTATTTACTTATGTCTAAGTCAAACTCATGTGTAAGCTAAGGGCAGTTTTGGGGAGCAAAATTATAGATTTAAACATGAACCCTGGATAAATCAAATCATTCCATGGAGATAGGAAAGCACCAATGCAACCTTAGGGGGCAGCTATCCCTGGCTGCAACCACTGCCATTTCCCCCTCATGTATGTAAAAAGGTCTTTTACCAATCTACTAAGAGAAAGATAAAAGTTTTAATAAAAGTTAAGATATAGCATTAACTCCTTTCTCTCAGTACACTGACTAAAGGCAAAAATGTAGCCTGCCCAGAGAGAACCTAAAAGAAACACAAAGCTCTTCTACTCCTCCTACGTTCCACTTTGAAAGAAAGCATAAAAGAGCCACTGCCACTGACACCTTTTTTTGGACCACAAATTCAAAAAGGCTAGAAGCTGCACAGTGGAGGAGAGGGTAGATGGTGCCAGTGTTTCTGGCATGAACTAAGCTTTTGCTTTTTGTCATTCTACTCAGAGAAGGAGATGGTTCTTTTTTAATATGAGATAAGATATAGTACTTACACTTACCCATAAATTGGCCCATTTTGGGGGGGGAGGTCATTTTTTAACTAAATGTTCTAGACATATACATGAGTATAAACAGTAGGACAGCACCAAAGTCCACCACATTGGTCTCTGTCATAGTAATTATCCAAAGATTTCGTAGTGTCAAAACAGTTGTTTGTCCTTAGGGCTACTTCAAATCCCCAAAAGCTAAGTACAGGTTCACACTTCTCAAAAGGGTCTCAATGCCCTTGTGACACATAGAATTGGTATTCCTGGCACCATATCAAATGGCTTTCAGAGACCAAAAAACTAGATCAACCTGAGGACACAAGAAAACAGAGTCCAGGCTAAAATAGCTCCCTACAACTTTCAAGTTACATTGAAGTAGGGTCATTGCAAGCCTTCAAATAGGCCATTCCATTTAAGATCACTGTGATGGCAAAGGAACACTAAATAGGAACAAATACATTCATAGATTCTTGGGGTTAAATAGATGGAAAGGGAGACTGCTTGAATCTTAGATCAGCAAGCAAATTGTCCCCAAAGATAATCAGTTCAATTTGGTTTCATGCTCTTTTAGAGTTTTTCCTTGCAAGAGCCATCTTTAAAATGCCCCTCCACATGCAGATGTCAATGGTCAATGTAATAACTTAAGAATTCAGTTTTAAAATAAAAGAGAAATGTAAACATCTCTGATGAAGTTTATGAAATTTAATGGGATGCAAGTCTGTGCAAAATAAATAGGTAGAATTGGTAGTCCTAGCCACATCCAGACCTTTAGCTCAAAATCATGAAATAAAATTGGTGATGGAAAATTGCAAGACAATGATATGTGCTCAGGGCTTGAAAGGTTCAAAAATAAAAAAGACCTTGTGTTCACTATTATCTTCTTCACAATGAGGAAAACTAATTGTCCAAGACCACCTGAGAAATCCAGTACTAGTGTAAATTTAAGGGACTGTAGTGTTAGAAATAATGCCTGAAAGAAACTCAAGCTAATTTCATGGTTTTAAAAACTATCTTTTTATGAAAAGGTCTTAGAAATAAAGACCCACTACCAACATACATAATTCTGTCAAAACTTTGGTGAAACAGAGATAATCATCCAATTTGAAAAAGATGTGGCTGCTCCTGCTCATCCCAGGCCAAAATACTCCACAGATTTAGTTGGCTTAGAATACAAAAAATACTTTGTTATTAAGCACTGATCATTACTAATCTGCGTAATTTCTACTTTTTTCCTTTTCAGTTTCCCAATCACTCTTGAATTGTGAAATTATGTTAGAAAAAAACTTTTCCTTTCAAAAAATACATTGATGTGTTTAAAAATCTTCATTGTGAAATTGTCAATGATTTCCATAGCGGCGAAGCTCTGCTATACACCAATGAGAAGCAAATTGAGAGAGAGAGATGTCTTATGTCTCAGAAGCCTCCAGTATGATCTATTCCTATGCATTTACCCTGTCTGGTTTGCAAGAATTACTCTGAATAAAAAATATATTCAAAGATTCAATGCATGTAGGCTGTGTTTCACAGAAAAGAACTGAAAAACCCACCTTTGAGTACTTTTTGCCTAAGAAAGCCCTATTTGTGTGTGTGTGTGTGGAGCAACTTGAGAAAGTGCAAGTTGCTTCTGGTATGAGAGAATTGGCGGTCTGCAAGGATGTTGCCCAGGGGATGCCCAAATGTTTGATGTTTTATCATCCTTGTGGGAGGCTTCTCTCATGTCCCCGCATGGGGAGCTGGAGCTGATAGGGGGAGCTCATCCACGCTCTCCCTGGATTCGAACCTACGACCTTTTGGTCTTCAGTTCTGCCGGCACAAGGGTTTAACCCATTGCACCACCGGGGGCTCCAGAAAGCCCAATGAAATTTATGCAAATGCCATAAATTGACAAATGACTTGACAGCATGCGCGCACACACACACTGGTTGGTTATGGGGTAGGGTTGCCAGACCACTCCAAAGGGATTGCCAGCAATATTTTTCTTCAGTCTTTCTATAAATTGAAAAAGTTGATCAATGCACATAAGATCAGTGTTACAAATTAAAAGTCACTCAAGGGGCAGCTGCCACCTCGGGTTCTTCCTACATGACCAAATAATGACAATCTTTGTATTACTTAATTGAGTACATGGGGGTACTGGCAAGGAAAGAAAGGAGATAACTGAGTGCACTACATGTACACCCAAAGTCAAGAACTACCAATAACCATCTACTGCTTGCCATGCTGGAGTTGCCAGGTGACTGAACGCATAAGCGTGGAACACTCTGATTAATTGGTTTCCACTTCTTCATCAACAGATCATCACAATTTAGGAATAGGGTTCTGGCGGTTCATTTAGAATAATAGAATCCTTGAGATGGAAGAGACCTCGTGGGCCATCCAATCCAACTCCCTGCCAAGAAGTCTAGTATGTTCCCATATAGAAGAGCAACTGTTTCTCCTTATGAACTAAGTGTAATCTGCAAATTTGTGCTCAGATCACAATGGTACTTTGATCATAGGAAACATCTCTCTTTATCATCAACTGAATCAACAACTATAGAAAAATAAAGAGAACGCACTATTATTGCACCTCTAAGCCAAGACACCATAAACATGCCTTATGCTGCTGCAAGGAGACACAGATATAACACATGCTATCATGTATTGTTCTGTGAATATAACTCCAAATCTTTCTACTATACTGTTAGGCCCTACCCCCAATATTAATTTGCTCCTACTGTAGTTTTCTAGATCTCAGCTGCCACTGAGTTCCAGGATAAAGAATCAACACTGTTCTTCTGTCTTAGAACACCAAGCTAGTGTTTGTTCTCAAACTTAAACACAGTTTGATACACACACACCTGTAAGGATGGAGGGTTGTGCTCCGCTTTGCATTCAAGTTACGGAATGCATCCTTCATGCAGTCTCTAAAGGCAGGGTAAAGTGTTGTCTGTTGCCTCTGAAGAAGTCATTTCTCCATTCATTCTCCAGTCAGAAGTTAAGAGAGTTTAGCAAATTAGCAGAAAGAACTACAAAAGAAAAATGCAGTAGAAAACATAAATCCATTTTAAAGTGTATGTTGTGTTTTCTACTTGTAGTATGCCAGAAACAAGAGATAAATACAGGTATCATAAAATTAATAAGTGATGTATGCAGTTTGCATTAAGATGTATGTAAACTTAGCAGCACATCCTATGGTTCAAACCAAGATTAAACTGAGAACTGCAGACTTTTATTAGCCTCTGTGTAATAAAAAGGCAGGTAAACATAATTAAAGCCTATTTGACATCAAGATGTTTTAACCTAACTCATTTTAAACAGGGCAAATTAAAGTTTTCAGTAGCACATCCAGTTTTTGCTGATTCTCCTATACTACAGGTAGGAATACTGAGCACACCTGAACACACAAAGCTTTCTGCACTGACCACAGTACAACTGGCATGCAACAAAATGTTGAGAATGAAACAACTGCCTGGCACAGCTTATTTCATAAATGAAAAATAGTATCATATTCAGACTGTTTTTCCTTTATGATAATTTTTTTCCTGTATCACTTGAATTTCAATGAGCACCGAAAGTCAGAAAAATGAACTTTTGAGGAATATTATTATTATTATTATTATTATTATTATTATTATTATCCTGTTTTCTTTCTCTACAAAAGAGCAATCTCTTAAGTCATTAGCACATCCAGTGAGCTGGGAAAAATATGACTTTTTTAAAAAGCCACAAATGGGCCTGAGATGTCAGTCATAGCTTGCAAATGAGGTTGCATGACTTGAGCAGGAGACTCAAACTTAGTCTAAGTTCAGACATAGCAGCCATTTATCTCCCTTATTATCAGGACATGGAAAAAAAAGAAGACACCATCCAGCCTCCGTAGATTCTGGTAGTGCTCCCTCAAACATCAGATTGGCATCAAGAAGCAAATTTTCTGCCAGTACAGATACAACAGGACCCAAAAACAGACTTAGTAGGAATAATGTGCTTTTCTGTATTTTCTTGTAAGACCACAACTTCGCAAAATTTACTGAGGAAACATTCCACAGAAGACAGATAAAATTCATATTTGTATGGTCACAGCACAAAAATTGGGTATTTATTTAGTCCTCCTATGAATGCAGCTAACTGCTGCCCTTCAGAAGAAATAACAGCAAACTGAAAGGATCAAACATGTAAGAGGCAGCTTAATATGTTCTTACCCACAATACAAATGTAAATGCAGGAACATGAAACATAATTTTTCCAACACAATTTTTTTAAGAAATGCAAAGTTCATGGTACATTCCCACTTCTGAACACAACAATGAATGTCTTGACCACTACATAACAGATATTTTCTATTTACATATTATTTGCAGCAGGATTCAAGGCCTCAAAGAAAACAACAGGACAAAGATTATGGGACACACAATACGGCAGTAATGGATCACAAAGGTTACAGTTATGATAGTTAGCATCAAATCCTCACTTGGCGACGAAATTCACCAGTGACCTTGCAATTTTTACTCTCAACCAGCCTCTCTTAGAGAATCACTGTGACAACTAAGAACTGAACACAATGCAAATTAGCTACAGGAAGGGAAAATCAGTAATAGGAGAAGTAAAGTAACATAGTACTCAGAATGTGCTTAGCTGTACAATATTGTGATGCATATTGAGAGTACTATTAGGGCTTGATGATGGCCATTTTGCTCTCCATCTTTTCTGTCATCTCTGAATATGCAGCTGTCAATCAAAGAAGAATTAGGATGAGTGGATCTCTTGTATGCCATCTATATAAGTCATTTTGGAAAGTCTCTGATTGTGGGTAGTTATCATATGGTAAACAAAACATATGCATGTCTCAACTATATCGGACTGTTTTCTAGCTCCCCAAAGTAATTCTTTATCACTTTTTAAAACGTTTTTCATTACTGAAATATCTGTGACAACACAGATAGAAAAATGAAAATACAAAACAACATAGCAGTTTTGAGTTCTACCATTAACACTCAGTATACATAAACACAACAGAGCAAAAAACTTGGTTGTTTAGAATAACCAAATGTAAAACAAGATCGTTTTTCCAACTTTTTTCCTTTAATTCTTTATTACCTCAGTCCTGAAAAGAATCCATGTTCTAATTTTTCTTTTGCATAAAGACATATTTGCAATTTAAAAATTAATACTAATGATTGCAAACAAAAAGTGTGCCATCAGGCGATCAAACTCCTTTTTCACTTTCAATTTCATACCAGCTTGCTGACACATTAATGACATATTTTACCACTACAGCTAGAAGAATTCTGACACGTTGACCTTTAAGATCAGTTCAGTGTTATAGCTCATTCTAAACAAAGGTTTTGTCAGCAGCTGTGAGCTTTAATGAGAATGTCTTCAATCCTAAATATGTTTTCATTCACTCTTCTAAATAAAGGAACTAAGGCATCAACAATGAAATATTACCAAGTTTCATTATACACAGAGTTAGCCTCAAATAGAGTTTGAGTCTCAATGGAAGTTACTTTGCTGCTACTTCTGATGATGAATTTGATTTTTAATTTCTGTGGTTTTCTGCCCTTTCTACAAAATCCCTGCCTGACCAAGCCTTTGCCTGAATTGACCTCCTTCTAAACTATGTTAACAGACAACCAAAGTAACACCTGAGGAGAAATGTAAAAATGTTTTAAAATCTTTGCCTTATAAAGAGGCCAGTGAAGCTTTGAAAGCTTGCATGATGTATTTTGTGCATTTTAGCTGGCTGAATAAAAATGTCACTGTCTTGTGGATTTTATTGTATTTGGCTGCATGGTCTACACAGTTATCTCAGAATAGAGTGTTTTGTCTAAATGTAATCCTTCCATCATCATTTGTTATATGCCACAAACATTTGGAAGTAGCTCCAATACTAAGTATACAAAAAGAAAGAAGCTAATTAAACATTTTTTTGTTACTGATAGCATGCAGCAATCTGGGCTATGAACAGTATAAGTTCTGTAGCTTTGATCTTAAGTTGAATTTGTATGTAAGTTGGAATAGATACATTTTTGAAGTGTAACTGTAACATTTATTCTGTTGTCTGTGCCACTGTTCACAAGATTTCACCTCACTTTCTGTCCCTATGACAAATGTATCTTGAAAATTTGGGTTTCTTGTGAAAACAAGGATTGGTGAAAGCTACATGGTTTGGGTTTAGGTTACCTACAGGATTGCCTTTTCCAGTACAATCCGCCCCAGACACTTATGTCCTTGGGGGGCGGCTACTCCATCCAGCCAGAACCCAACTGGTGACTGTCACCCAGAGGTCCGTTTCATCGGCTGCACCAAGACTTTGGAATTAAGACATTCAACAGTTAAATTAGCTGTCAGAAGACCTATCCTCTCTGGCAGGCCAATCCAGTCAGCTTAAACTTGTGAATTTTAAACGCATGTGTTTACTGTATTTTAATCTATTATACTGTGTACATAGAGAGTCCTTTTCAGTGGCTGACTCCCAACTTTGAATGTATCATCCTATTCCCCCAAAGAAAAAAACAAGTTGATCAACTATTTAAAAAACCATTTATTATTGTTTTGCTTTTGGAGTGGCTACACATTCCTTGCTTGCACCAGAAAACCCTCCTCTTTGATAAACTGTAGAAGGATCCAAGGAGGAATCCAACTATCATTATGCCAAATGAAAACTGACTTGTATACTGCTGGCCATTATGGGGAAACAATGAGAACTTAGTTCAATTTTCAGGAATACTGAATGTTCCATACATTCTAAATTTACATTCTATATTTTGGAAATATCCAAATGTTGATAATCTGGTTTGTCTGAATATTAATTATATTAACTAAAAGACTTTTGTACTGGGAATCCTACCTTTCTTTTATAATAACTGCAATGCTCATGTATTAGATTGGTTATCTAAAATTATCATCATGAATTACACGACACAAAACAAGTGTTATGTATCACCATTACTGGTCATCTATAAAATATTAAATAGCCCAACAACAAAGATGTCACTGCCTTGGTCCTTTCATTATTGATTGCTACTTCCCCACGGATGTCAGGTGATGAAATACTGGCGAAACAGTAAAATTTCTCCAGTGGTGTATCATTAAGAGCCCCATCCACTATTTCTGTGTGGTGAGATGTATTCCACACTGCGCATACATACTTAGTAGAAGTAGCAAAGTGCAACAGCAGATGTCTTCACTGTATCTGGTTGTGATCCCCAAGTTGTGGAATTGTGATTTATAGTAAAAGGAAAAGGTTTTCCCTTGACATTAAGTCTAATCATGTCCAACTCTGGGATGGTGGTGATCATCTCCATTTGAAAGCCGAAGAGTCGGCATTGTCTGTAGACGCCTCCAAGATCATGTGGCTGGCATGATTGCACGAAGCGCCATTACCTTCCTGCCAAAGTGGTACTTTCCACTTTCATTCACTATTAGGTTTTAAATGATCACTTCCTCTTGCTTTACTTCTTTTTTAATTTTTGTTATATTGTTGGTTTGAGCACGAAGATCTCCACAGGACCTTTCAACTTATTTATTCAAATTTATGGCAATTAGTTTTAATGATAAAAAAATTAGCAAACTTAAGGAATATTTGAGCAATTTGTGGTTCACTGAAGTGGGAGTAACTTTTAAGACTGGGTAACCCAGTTTTAAAGTTTTTCCTGTAGAATTAGATCCTTAATATGACAATAGCTTCCTTATCCTTTTAACTCCCCACATTTTTTCTCAGCTAAAAATAAGAGAGTTTCGCCAAAATAGGCAACTGTGAAAACAATGGAAGCAAAACCATTTCTTCTTTATCAAACCTTTTCCAAAAAAAAAAACTTTGCCATGAATATAAGGTTGCTGTTTTTGTTTGTTTGTTTGCAATTACCCGAAGTATTCTGTTTAAAGTAGATGAACAATTAAATGTCACAATAAAAGCTTTGGAAAATAGTATTTAACAATATTTTATATCACTTGTTTTGATGGATCAAGTTAACTATATATGGCACAGCTGATATATTGGACACACTACTCTCAAAGCTTGAAAATA